ATACATATACATATATATATACATATATACATATAAACATATATACATATGTACATATATACATATATGCATATATACATATATGCATATATGCATATATACATATATACATATATACATATAAACATATGTATATACATATATATACATATAAACATATTTATATATATATACATAAATATGCATATATATATATATGCTTGAATCGTTTTTGTTCGTTCCTTTGGCCCCACGGACCGGCCCGACCCCAAGGGCCCGGCCCCCCGGGTGCCACGTGCGAATCCCGTGAGAGCCTTGGTGGGACTGGTTGTTTTGTTTCATCCTTTGTTGTGGATTCGGTGCGATTTATTCTTGATCAGTTGTTCATTTTTGATCCGGCAGCCGGATGCTGCAGCGCTGCAGGTTTGGAAATCCTGGACGCAGCAAAGATTTGCAGCCGAAGTTCGCCTGCTTGCAGAGCTGCTAAGCTCGAAGAAATATGTTCAGCCTCCTTGTGCAAAGAGCCCCACTCAGCCAGCAGTGCTCTAGAAAAACTCGTCGTCAGGTTTCCAGCGTGCCACAAGCTGATTACGATGGCGTCCAGCCTCATGGGCGTGCCGCATGGCCAGCATCTTTTCTTCGACATTGATAAACTGGAGCAGCTTCGGATGCATCCACGAGCATCAGTGGGTTAAGGCTTAAACTGTTAGCAGACCTGGCAAGGACTCCATGTCCTTCATGAGTCAGTCATTCAGTATGGCGTGTATCAAAAGCCAGTTCGCACGCGGCATGACTGCAGTATTAAGAATCATCCCCAGGACCAAAAGCCAGACATACGCACGACGGCGGTGTGCACTCAGGACCACAGGACCAAAGCAGATACCCGATAACCGAAAGAAGTGGGAGAGATGCGAGCAGCCTCATAGATCCCGAGTCCTTAACTGGGAGATGGCGTCCGAGGTCGGAACCACCGGGCGAGCTCAATGTCATCCTTAGGACCTACGAGCCAGGCAAGCAACACCGCGGCATAGACTGCGTATCTTTTTCTGCACCCTTCGAAAGCCCTGCTCTTCTGAGCATCGTGGGTATGGACGAGGTGATTGGCTTGGACGGCACGTGGACGATGTGTCCTGGCTGCAATCAGCCGCAGTTCTTCTATGTTATCCTGCAGAAGTGAAACTTGTCTTGCGCTGATGGTTGTGGTTGGCCGGGTCTCGTGAGAGCTGTTCTGAGTGTGCCAGACAATGGAATGAGCAGTCAAGGTCCGTATGTTTGCAGAGCCCGTTCTTGCGGCGATCTTGCAGCCAGGAGGTGTCAGGCCAGGAACAGTGACATGTCAACGCTCTCTGACTGGCTCTAGTACTGGGAGAAGTCTTTACATGACACGTTCGAAGTACGTCGCCATGGCAGTTCTGACTGTGAGGGATGGTCTCCGCTTCACCTTGCCCCGAGACCCTGTGGCTCTCTCTGCAGCCCTTCGCGAAGCAGAGGAGCCACCGATGATCACAAGTGAATCTCCACGCCTTGTCAAGCGTAGCTTGCGAGATATGGTTTGCAACATCCAAGCAGAAAGCGATGCACGATGGCCTTCAAGGTGCATGCCCGATGGGGGCTCAAACAGCCAACGAATGACGTCGAAAGGGTTCGTGCAGACGAAAGCAGTTTACTGTTGCTTTCCTTTTCGTATGCTCCCACACTGGGTCGAGCAAATGCCTTGCATGCCAAGACTGCACTTGCTGCTTGACTCCTTTTCTCGAGCGGATGCTCCTGGTGCACGCCTGTGATATGAAGCAGTCTTGACCGCAAAGGACGCTCATGGAGCCTCTCTTCGTCTTCGCGATCTCGCAGGGTGCTCTAGCCTCAGTGTTGGCGCACCTTCCTGGATCTTGCTGGAGCCGATTGTCACTGAAGCCCGCGGATCTGAATGAAGCTTAACTTCAGTCCACTCGTATAGCTGCTAGCCGCTGGTAGCTTAGCAGGAGACGTCAGACTTGACACACCATTGCAGCTGCAGCCAGAGAGCCATGAGGCATTTCTTTCGAAAGCACACATCTTCTTTGCTCAAGCGCTGCAGTGTGATCTACAGAGCCCTAGCCTCACAGTTTTGGCGATTGTCGGGAAGGACACCCCGAAGCACCATGCAACCAGCCCGCACTTGATGAATGGATTTCTCGATGCAGCACAGCCGCATAGCAGATTCCCGCTCGGTTGCTTTCCATGAGCTGCTTTCAGGATGAGGATACAAACAGCAGCCACGCAAATGGCTGTGAGATCGCTGAAACTCAGACACTTGGATCAAACATGTCGGGCTTCTGGGCTTCGATGTGCTTAGCAACTCTCAAGATGAGGCCGCATGGGCTGCATACGATTCCTGATGCCAAATCTTGAACCAAGGATGCTTCGACTCTGGCGCCGCCTTGGTCAGCAGCAAGGCAAGGGACCCAGACATGTGAATTGTGTTTTTTCATGGCTATCCCGGCTCAACTCTTGCACAAAAGGCACATCACTCCATGGCACCACTGCAGAAATCGCTCTTGTCGCTCTCAACTTGCAAGGCTTCTCGTGCTTTGGCTGCGGGTGCCGGCGCCGGCGCCGTGGGTCTGGCACTCTGCGTGCCCCCCGCTCGTGCAGATGGGGCGTCCGCAGACGTGCCAGCATTCACCATGGAAGCCCCGAAGTACGATCAGCTGCATGGCTAAAGTTAGAGAATCACAACATGGCACCAGGGCCCCCCGAGCCGAGTGCACGAGAGTAACAGAGTACTAGTAGCAGAAGAAGAACCAGGCACATGGCTAGTCGGAATGACGCACAAGTGAGAGAGAGAAAAGAGACAGCTTGTGACATGTTTGGACATGAGGTCCACCTTCTATGGCCGACTGCAACTTCGATGCAAACAAATACTCATTTTTTGGGAGTACCCCATCGTGTCCCCCTTCCCTTTTTGTATGCAGTAGTGGTCTTAGCCTCAAACGACACAAGGATGGGCATGTATGACTACATTGACCCTCGGACGCTTCTCTTGACCAGCGACGACCTGAAAAAGTCACAGGCCCATTTCCGCACATGCTTGGATTGGTTTATGAGACACGCGCAGCGCCAGGAGCTTCTGCAGAAGTACAAGGAAGCAGGAAAGAAGCCGGAAGGCTTGAACACTGTTGCAGAAGCCAGTAGCATGAGCTTCTTGGCTTATTCTTGTCTGTGCAGGTGTGTCGGATGCGGATATGTGGCAAGCAAGGAAAAATGTGGAGGTTCCTCGACCAAACAACCACTTCCGCTTGTGCCACTCGTGCTTGTGATTGGCCTGTGAGGGGCATGTATATATGCTCGATGACAAACTTGCAAGGTTAGCATTCACCCAGTCACAGGCGAGGAGTTGTTGAAGGTCGGACGAATGCCCCTTGAATGCGCTGGGTTCTCAGCAGCGCGAGTTCTCCAAGAGAAGATTCTTCCAGGTCTGCATTTGTTCCGATGAACGTGCCGCTTTGCGCGTTCATGCTGATGGCATCTTCAACCCCACAAATCCTTGCTGCCCAATGGCCGGTACCTCATCATCCTGTCTGGAAGCCTGTGGCCTGTGATGCACGATGCCACGTCCAGCAGTGTAGAGCTGGATCAAGGCTCAACCAGACGTACAATGCTCTCAACAACTACGTCAACAGGTCAGGTGCAACTGCTCCTTGCCTCGTGAACAGAGAGAAGCACGTACTATCACGTACTGACTGGGCTCTACTCGGCTATGCTGACGAAGTTTGTAGACCAATAGATTGGACAAGACAGATCCTGACAGTGTACCTGTTGCAAGGACAGTGCCCTTACTTCAGGACGTATAAGACCCTGTTAGCCTTGGTTTTGCTCAGAGTCTCTCAGGTGGAGTGGTCCTCACTGCTGCAAAGCTATGGCCTGGCTGTGACTGCATCTTGCTCGATCGCCTTGGGCGCAAGACCGCGGGTTCATCAGGTAAGGTAACAGGTCGCACAGGCTGCACAGGGTATCTGAAAGCCTTTTACTGCCATCATTCGTCACATGAGGCAAGAGGAGGTGAGGTGGTCAGATGGAGTAAATCGCAGCGGCCACTAAATCCAGGCAGCAGCTCCGACCAAGCACAGTCCCCTCGATCACCAGGACGATTGATGAGCGCGGTGCCATCTTTGCAGGTTATGGGCCCTTTCGAGCCTTGGCTACGGCACGAGAGCTAAGGGCTAGCCGGGACCGACTGCAGAGGAATGAGATGCTTGGTCGACGCTGCTTCATGGCCAAAGAGGCTCGTTGTAGTGCATGTCATGAGCCCAACCAGGTGCCCTACCTAGCCGTGATCTCAGCTGGCACTGCGAATGCATCTTGGCAGTCGTCATGCAGAGGGTCCGTTGCATAGAAATCCTAAGCCTCAAGACAAGCCTAATAAGCCAGGGCGCCCCATGCTGTTATGTGTTGGCGGCCATCCTTTCGAGAGAGTTCGTGGTGGTGGGGTAGTGGGTTGAATGCGGGCTTGCTCCACTTCAGAGAGTCGGTGTTAAGTACTTGCTGACGATTTTCAAGAGTTTTCAGCTCAGGTGTCCTTTACACGCCTCGAGGAGTGGTACGGCAAGGGAGTCGGGCTCTCGGCTTGTGCGGAAACCCTGTCCCCTTTCTCCACTGTCCCTGACCTCCCCACTGTCTCTATGGACATAAGCACGTACATGAATGCATGCATGCATCATACTTACCTATGCATACACACATTCGCGATTGCATGTGTTTGACGGGAATCCATGTTTACGTGTATCTCTCTCCACCTCTGTGTCATCTGTGGCGATGCAACGAAACGGAACAGGTCAGTCGTATAGTAACCCTTGTAGTACCGCTTAGACTACGCTATAAAGGAAAAGGTCAGTCGTCGGTGACATCATGGGCGCTCTCGGAGCTCTCCCGGAGCTTCTGGGCTCTCTCGTCCGGATGCTGGGGACCTAAGGCTGATGTGTTAATTACCCGGTGGGCAACATGGATACGACAGTTTCGTCATGGTCCTTACAAGCTTGGTTATGAGATCCTCCTCACAGCTTTTCCTGCAGTCACTGTCGTTGGACAAAGGTTTCCATCGTGGACGACGAGGGAAAGGAACTCGGAATGTCCAGAGCTGCTGGTCAGATGGGTGGCTTGGCTGCTACGCGGGTGCACCTCCTATTTTCGAGATCTTTGCTTCAGGGGTATGACAGTGAGACGTGGGTAGCTTCCGCCTAAGGTGTCTTGCAGACCGTGCTTTCGCGATCTTGCTTCCTGCCGCATGGCTGAGCCCGAGCCGGTTCCGACAGCGAATTGAACTACAGAAGGAGATTCGTCGGTGTTGCAACCGAGGTGTGTCTTAACATCTAAGACATGTCCAGCAGTCCCTCCCGCAAGCATGGGTCATGGGAAGACCGCGAATTCAGGCCTATTGCTCCCATGGTCATGCCCATCATCGGCATGAAAGCTATTGGAAGTGTTGCACCAGTGCTGACAGCGGGTGCCATGGGCGTCGTGACAGAGATATTGCTGCTCGGTTGCATGTGTTGCACACGGACATGGCAGCACTGACTGGTAAGTATAGACTGCGACCCATTGCAAGAACGAGTCACCTCCATGAGTTCTCACTAGTCACTACAGTGTCAAGGCTAATCACTGGCTGCATCTCTGGTATGCTGCCAGTTGCCCTGGCGCTCCTTCCGTAGCTTGGCTAGACGATGTACGAATGGCGTACTCGTCGTATTTCGAGCGAAGTCCATGACGGCTCTGCCTAGGCAGAAGATGGAGATTGCTGTCAGCAAGTTGGAGCCGGAATATCAGAATCTCAAGGTGGCATTCGGATGCCTGGGGGCCGCTAGTGGTCAGTATGTCGGCATTCTGCAGCAGGACTCCAAAGGGCAGCCCATCACAAAAGTTGCGAGCCCAGCAGCTGCTGCTTTTTCCTTTATGACCCCACACTATTTGCAGAAGAATCCTGCGCGTGCTGCCTTGCCGCGCCTCCATATCAAGCCCAGGTTTTCGCGAACAAAGGCCTTTGAGAAGTGCCCCGCATCAACAGCCGTGGCGGCTATCCCTGCGCACGCTTGATTTTCCCATGAATCTTGGTTTTGGCATTGCAACCCCAGCCCAGCCCCAAACCCTACACCCACGACAGCCGCAAAAGCCTCCGACACGCTAAGGAGCGTGGCGTTGAACGCTTTCACTGCGCTGAATCCAGACGCAGCCAATCCTGCATGACAGAATTCATGATTATCAAGGAACACAAAGCCCTCTTGTTGTTTACGCTTATATTATGGGATCCCAATACAGATCCATGAAAAGGAAGGTTTTGGCTCCCCTACATACGTCTAGATTAGTTTAGTCCAGATTCTAAGTTTCAAGGCCCAAGCTTTAAGACCCCAGAACTGTTACATATGGCCGAGGATTCTGAGGAGGCATGCACTCCAGGAATGAATGCTTGGACATTCCCATAACCCCGTTGAAGCCGAGTTTCTGCTTTTTCCAGGTTTAGAGGCTACAGAGGCCACAGGATATGTTCCGGCATGTTCCGGCTTAGCCGAGTCGCCTTTCTTCTGCAATCTGCTTCAGTTGCCATTGGGCACAGAAGAGCTTGAACAAGCCAAAGTGACTTCTATGTGGCGGGCGAGAAATGTCACAGAAAGCTTCGGGACTTGGTGCACAAAGGGAAGCATGGCTTCTTCGGGCTGCAGCTCCTGGTCGTGTCAAGTGCGGCACTGCTGGCGATACCCTCAAGTCGGCCTCAAGTTAGAAAGCCACCGAACCCTTCCATGGCAAGAGGACGTATGCCAGCAGCCACCTCAGGAAGTGGAAGGCGACTTAGCAAGGCCGAGAAGCTTGAGGTTGCCGTACCAAGAAGGAGCACTTAATGTAGTGTGCCGGCCGCATACTCGGGTTCGTTCTTGATCTGTGGTTTTCTCTCAGGTGCTGCGCGTTTGCGCAGCAGTGCTGGCCGTCCCGGCGTTTCAAATCTGGGAGGCGCGATAAGCACGTGGACAGACAATTCGGCCTGGTGCTTCCAGTGTGCATTCGCTTCTTCTTGCCTCTTTGGGGTCCAGTTTGGATCTGTTGGATTCCTGCTTGCCTTGTGACGACCAGGTCCAAGCTCAAGAACAGCGCTGTTCGCAAGGGGTTTGCTCATCTACAGGCGCGGGCTTCTTGGCCAGTTTGATGCAGTCGTCGCTACTGACTTTACGGCATGCAGCGGGGCGCGAGCTTGAATTCCCATCGCCACCCAGTCTGGGAGGTCATGCAGCAAGGTGCGCTCTTTCATTCGGCAGGTACCGCTCGCGAAGATGCGTCGCTGCTGCAAGCGCATCCGGTGAGCGAGCTGACGCAGGACAGCTTACACGGCCGGTGTATTGCCAGAGACATTTGCAAGTTGTGAAAGTAGAAGCTGCGGGAACCGAAACTCAGCAGGTGTGAGTGTGAGCCAGGTGTGTGTGGCATGAAGCGTGCGGTTAAGAGTTAATTGACTGGCAGACCTTGGCTGCAGGCACGCCACGCGAAAGACGCCGTGAAGCGGCGGCACAAACATCATTCGCAGACGCACAACAAGGCGAGCCTGTTCCGGGCAATGCTGTCATGCATGATAGTTGGCTTGGACAGATCTCTTGCCGGTCCTAGCAGAGCCGAAGCTACCCATCGTGCAAAGACTGCGTGGCATCGTTGCACGCAGAGTTGCGCGCAGATTGTTGATGGTCGCGATTACCGTGCGGATGCGGCTGAATACTTCGAGCAACCTAGCCGAACTCGATGTTGTTGTTTGCCTCTTTCCTCCTTGTGAAACTGTGCCACTGAGGAAGGTAAAGCACGATTCTCTTGAGGACCGATGCCCCCACATCCGTACTATGACGCTGAAAGAGGCATGCCAGCTGTTGGTTGTGATCGAGCGGTGGGTCAGATTTGGGAAATGTTTTCAGACATCCCAAGGCGACGAAGCTTGCAGCCAAGTCTGTGTCTAGACTCTAGACTCCCGAGCACAAGTGACATAAGACTTGTACCGCAACTAGAACTCGACATCCTACAATGGTAGCATAGGCTGTTGTCGTGCTGGCCTACTGTCAAGACAGGTCAGCCAGCGTTGGCATGAAGAGCTGGAGCAACTGAAGGAGGCCGGGACACACCACCAGGATCCACCAGGTGGTACACTAGAACAGAGATCAAGCGCAGCTAGTTGCGTTGCTGCACGGGTTTCAAGCCTGAGGACACTCCACGGGAGAAGTTCGACAAGAAGTTCAAGGCGTGCGGTTGCTTGGACAGTCTTGACATTCTCTCTTGAGCCAGGGCGTTGGGAAGTGGCCCTGTGTTTCGCCAAGACGGCAAGTCTCAGTTGCATGCTGCACCGCAGGACTTCCGGCATGCTTTTCCGGGACTTCTGCATGACAACAAGCCAGTTTTGATCAAGGCGGCTCGCTGCGTCCAATGTAGGCCAAGGCTTCAGCCACTGTGGCATCGGCACAATGAGTTGGGCAGGGACACGTGCCCAAGCAGCTTGGTTGGAGAGCTGCCACTCACTGGGGCAAGGACTTCGGGTTGCAGTTGGGCAGAGCCACTAAGCTTGCGCCGGTCCCGCAGAGTAGGCCCGGCATTTTTTGGGCAGCTCCCCTAGGACGAGCTGGCCGATTTTCTGGGCGACCTGCCCTGGCAGAGGTGGAGACTTGCTCTGCTTGCCCTCCTTGAATGTGCTTGCTGGAAGGCAGTCCTTCGATTATCCGGAAGCTTGTCCATCAACGCAACGTCAGGGTACATGCTCCACGCGAGACGACCAGAGTCTTCTTTCCTAGAGCTCACTGGTGCTCTTACTTGTGCCAAGGACTGGGTCTATTCAACGCACAATTTGACGACATTCCGTGAGTATGTGGGCCACGATGACAGAAACTTGGGCATGCAAGCAGCCTGCCGCGATGACTTGCCTGAGGTGAAAGCGTCAGAGATGTTGTGCTCATTCCCAGGTGCTAGAAACATTTTCCTTTTCGGAAGCGAAGATGGCTGTGACAAGCGGGGCGACCTCAAGAAGACGATGGACAAAATCAGAGGCTCCTTATCCGCTGTAGTAGTTTCTACTGCGTGCAGTGGGGATAGTCTCAGTCTCAGACAGGCTTGGGACACACTGGATGTATTGAAAGCAAAGGCTGCATGACAGCGCAGTTCGATACAGCGTTCTGGCACGGAAGGTCAGTTCATTCCAAGCCCGGACTTTGCCTGGGGACCGGAAGTCTGCGAGGCCATCGTGGCCATTGACTCCATAGGCGGAGAAGAGTTCGGTGAGCTTCTGTGGATTGTAGCCTTGGACCTGAATCCATGCCGTTGACAGGAAGTTCCCACGGCTTCCACTGCCACGACCCGGTCTGGCAAGTACAAGTCCAGGGCCCGAGCCATACATGGCCGGTCATCTTTGGCCAGGCACCTGCTGTCAGCCCTCCTGTCTGGTGTTCAGGCTACAAGATGTGGTGGCTGCTTCCGCCACACTACAGAGGGAAGCTTGCCTGCAGTGGCGGTTGGCCTATCGCTCCTGTTGAAAGCAAGCTTATACAAGGTCTTGTTATGTCTTGTTCAATCATTGGATGTAGAGCACTCGCGAGGACAGCGCCCGAATCTGACACGACAGACGACTCCATAGCATCTCAGCTGGCACTCATTGCCCGGCATCGAACTAACTGTGCTGCGCACTCTCCTGGCAGATGTTTCAAAACAACAGGATTCCATACCCGAGCCACCCGTTCGGCCTCTCTTGCGTCACTGGCTGCCAGGGCTGGGGTGGTTCACCAGTACTCCCAGACGGCACTGTCTTTGCGCACCCGAACGGTTGTGCCATGCTGAAGCAGGCAGGACAGCATGCAGCACGCCACCCTGTTGCTGGTTGAAATTGAAAAGATGCCTGGACTGGTAGCCAGCAGAGATGTCACCTGCGTGTTTGCACCCAACGAGGTGGAGCCGCCGCCGCTCGGCTGAGCAATTGAGTCCGGAGAACCGTGCGGAGAAATACGATCAGAAGCGGCCACACATGTGGCGAGTTTATGGTAACCTGGTAGGTCAGTAGTTCTGCTTCTGGAAAATTGGCACCGGAGTTCTCTAGCGGCTAGCGGACTCTAGCGAAAAGTCCTACAATAAGAGACACATGCACTTGATCAAAAGCTCGGATTTTAGCAGCACCTAGTGTTGGCTCAATGGAATTGAGGAAAAAACATGCTTCTGAGACTCAAGTATTTGTATCCCGAGGCCAGGAACGAAGTCGTGCTTGGTGGGTCCTGGAGATGCACAGCCGCAACAAAGGGCAGAATCGAAGGATTGTTCCGTCCTTGTGTGCATGAAGCAGAGGGCAGTGATGACTCCATGTGAACGGTTAAGGAAATGATGGTGCTACCGGTCGGCTGGGTCCATTCTACATGTGGGCTGACGAATTACACAGCGGCGGCTGGGGGCTGGCTGGGTGTGTCTCAGCAGCAATGCTGACGTGACTAGTGACAACCTCCGAGCCTTCCGAAAGAGAGTAAGTCACAGCCGTCATAGCCTGCCCCAGAGCAACCGAGTACTACCGATCGTGATGCGCCGGGCGGAAGAAGGCAAGCAGAAGGCAAAGAGCGCGTGAGCTTCTGCAAAGTGGGACTTGGGTCGGATAAGCTGATGCTGGTGTTGGCCAGCTCTCTGCCATTAAAACACTGTTGGTCTGCATGGGGCGGGAGAGGGCGCTCTTCAGAAACGTTTCCGAGAAGTCATTCAGCTCGCTGATTGGGCCAGGTCCTTGGCACACCACGCTTTTAACAACTTTTTAAGGCAGCCCATTTACCAAAGATTCCTGGAAACCAGAGTCGAGGTGTGGGCTGCTTTGTAAATTGCACGAGGCATTTCCTTGGGCGCAGCTTGACAGGTTGTTAAGGCTGAAGCCGAAGCGTCAGCTGCAAGCCTAGGGCCTAACTTTCCCGACCACGGCCTCAGCAGAGAGAAAAATGTGACGGGGCTTCGGATGCCCCTTCTGAGACGGTTGAGATGCTGGCCGGACACGGCTGCAAGTGGTGCTGTTGATTTGCTTCTTCGGCTGCTGAGGGGGCAATCGGCCAGCATGAGTGCACGAGTCTTTTGCGAGCAGCACAGACATCGAGTGCGCCCTGAGCAAAGCTCAGGTGATACATGCCCCCAGAACTACCAGGCAGGCCTTGCGGCCTGAGCTGGTTCTGCGCCTGCGCTCGTCGCACTTCACACCAGAACACTTCTGCCTGCAGGTGCTAGAGAGATGTGGGACTGCGATTTGCTTGGAACGCGAAGCTCGCTTCTTGTACGGCCATGAGGCGTCGCAGTGACACCTGCAGTTATGCGCAGTATGCGTAGCAACTGCGAGCTTAGGATTTTTGAGCTCTTTGCAGGTGCCCAAGGTTTCACAGCCGCGCGTGTCCATGACGTGGCGCTGGCTGCACCCGAGGCCCGATGCACAGCCAAAGTGCCTTGTGTTCCACCGGCACGAGTCCACGGGCCAGGTTTCAGCAAGAAGTCGACGAAGTGAGGAGCTGGCTAGGGCATTGTGAAGCGTCGGGCATCGCAGGGCCGAACAGCGTGACCATCAAGCTGCTGCTCTTGCATTCTTTGCTTTCGGTGAGCGTTTAAGCTAGCTAACCCTTTCTGGTCAAACCCCCACGTTTGTTCTGAGTCAGATAGGTTCGATTGGCACAAGGCATGACGGTCCGGCCTGCAGACGGCTTCAGGACTAGAGTGAGTAGGCTCAAAAGTATGAGAGTTCGTTACACGTGCATTCACGTCCATCATGCGAAAGTGTTCGTGAAGCCTTGGCTCCGTGGGCACCAGCTTGAGCCTTCAAAACTACAGGGCCCCTTAATGACTTAGTGTGGATCATTGAAGCCTTGATGAAGTAAATTTGTTCCTGTTGGCGTGCTTGCGAGTGCGCTCCATCAAGTACAGAAGCACGAGACGACAAAGCCTAGCCAGACTCCGGCGCTTTTCAACATTTGTAACAACGAGGAGAATTATTATTCTTAGCAGCTGGCCACGCGGCTTCTTGTAAGATGGGGTTTGCCATGTGCACACAGCTACCTGGCTGAACTGCCGCTGTATTGCGGTTTGACTGGTGATTGCAGTCGGTCTCCCCGTGCTCAGGCAGCCTTGAGGGGGCCTAAATTTGTGGCCTGTGGCTCAACAGAGCGAGGCTTCAGGCCAGGTAATTATTAAAGACCCCTCTGATGTTCACAATGGATCCGGAGAACCGCCAATTATCTCAAGTCCATCTGGTCCAAGCTTGGCACTTCTGCAGAGCGCACGAAACAAGAAGAGAGAACGCGGTGTTTTCAGTGCAGGATAGGAGTGGAGAGAAAGAGTGCGAGGCCACGAGCATTACGCTTGCCACTGCAGCTACTGGCACCCTACTCGTACATCTTTCGCTTGTCAAGCCTTGTGAACCCCCTAACTTTAAGCAGGGCGAAAGCAGTAGAGGAAGGTCCCCGCTGCCTTCAATCGACCGCATGATGTCAATTTAAGGCTCTGCGTGCAAGAGGAGGTCCCATCCAACGTGGCACAGCTGGCTCGTTTGGTACGGCGGTGTGAAAGATATTCGCATCGGCCGATTAGACGTGACAAAGTGGAGGTCGCGCGAGGCTCAGCATATCGGTGCCGAGATCGCAGCTGCCGCATCATCACTCATCGCACACTGCAGCTGTTGCTCATGAGCCTCACAGCTGCACAGCATGCAGAGCTCTCCAGCCTACCCAAGCTGTCGCAACACGGAAATAAATGGTAGGTCTGAGCAAAACTGTAGTGCTCCGACAGACTTCGTATGTCGCCTGGTTGCGGCATGAAGTCGAAAGCCTGCCGACCAAGAGACTGCATGCCTAATGTAGCATTGAGAAAGACGAGGATAATAAGTAACCCCGTAGCTGCAGCAATGGCGCCGCTGGGTTTTGCTGTTTCCATGGCTGCGGATCATGGCACCAGCTTCTTTATGTCTTTCAAGCCGCTAGGCTTAACCGACGACAGGATTTGCAGACGCCCCGCATGAATTTGCTTGGCAATTCAAGATGTGTTCGAGCTCCTTCTCTCTACATATGCACATAGAGAGCCTGAGAGAAGATGAAGACACACAAACAAGGAAGCACGACACAACACTGAGAAGTAGGTAGACAAGGCAGATAAACCTACTTGTCTGCTTACTGTTTCTACCTAGATCTAAGTCGATCTGCTGATCTTATCCTGTCCCATCCCATCTCATCTCCTCACATCCCATCCATGCATCTATCGATCTACCTATCTATCTATGTGTCTATCTGTGTGTCTGCCTGCGATCTATCTAGCTAGCTATCTTTGTTTTTCTCTTTCTTGTCTTGTCCTCTCTGTCTGTCTATCTGTCTGTCTATCTGTCTGTCTATCTGCCTATCTATCTATGCCAGACTATAAAGCACTATCTGTCTATCTATCTGTCAATCTACCTGCCAATCAAGCTCTCTATCTATCTATCTCTATTCTATGTCTGTCTCAAGTTAGCCAACTACATACCCATGCAAACCGACACGACATACGGAGTAAACTACTACTGCTGTATCGCGTCGCTACAGGCATTTAGGCTGATGAGGCCACCCATGCGCATGAGTCTGGTCGGATGCAGGAAGCAAAGGGAGCAGATCCATGCCGAGTTGATTAAGGACCTGCTTTTTGTTTTTGCTCCAGGAGTGTCCGCTCTCACGGTCATGTTGGTTGGCCGATGCCAGGACGGCATTGAGAGCCCACCTCCCATCCCCGTGAACGACGGAGACCCTTCTGCGACTCGGCGGGACCAAAGTTCAGACGCTCCATAGAGCTCCTTGATCGGATCTGCTGCACAGTCGAGCCAGCTCGATTCGTTTGTGTCGAGGAAGCAAACGAAGACTTGTTCGACAAGTCTCTTTGCAGTAATTCGGAGCCCAGTGCCGGAGCAGTGCAGTGCAGAAGCCTTTTCGCACAGGGCGACTTTCGTTTCCTGTCTGAGGCTTGCTGGAGCTGAAGGCCGGGCTCGGAGCTTCGGTCAAATCCTATCATTGCCTGCATGTAGCATGTGTAAAGTATATGTAACACATACATCCGTGATACATGTATGTAGCACAAGTTGAACAAATTGGGTGCAGGCTAGCAGCGGCTAGCACCAGTGGGACGCGACATGTCGGCGAATTCGTCTCTGCCAGGTCTAAAAGGACAAACAGAGAACCATGAAGCCTGCTTGTGCCTGCCGGGAACGCTCCACAATCCGGATTCTTGCTCGATTGAGATCATGGTGCTTGCCTTCAGTGCAGACACGCTCCCACGCCTCTGGGAATCTTAAACCCAGCTGGGTCGACAAGGAAAGCCAGAAGGCAATGTCCGCCGAGGCGGAGGAGAGCGAGAAAGGACGGAAGCGGGAACCTCGAGCGGTTTTGCTTCGATTCGGGTGCGATTGATAAGCAGGACTCCTCACCTTTCTGGGCACGAAGTGGCACAGGGAGAACTCGCGGGTCAACTCGCACATGAACCCACTCTTCGAGACCTACGAGAAAGAAAAGATGAAGCTGGACAAGTGCCCTGGCATGCAGAAATACACTCTGTAGCGAGAATGTGTTCTTGTCCTTGGAGTTTGCCTCTTAGCCAGCAGGGCCTTGCAGGTCGAGCCGAACTTGCTATGCGGAATTGTACCCGCAGACACGACACCAAGGCTGTTGGATGATCTCCACGCGAAGGTGAGCGTGCAGGGTCGGTTTTGTGACATCATGTGCCTTGCTTGCGCCATCCCGGGCCTGCGTCAGCAGCTTGTGGTCACGACAGATTTTGGCAGGCATCTGTCGCAGAGTCTGCTGCCACGACGCTGAAGGAGTCGTTTCACAAGGCAACGTCGAGAATCAGTTTCAACTCGATGCTAACACGTTGGGACAGTGTCGGAAAGTTGCTCCCGGACATCTGAAACATCCTCGAGCTCTCGATCGCAACCCGCCCCTGACCCGGGTCGTCCTACGGTAGAGTGCTCTCGTTCAAGCAAGTGTACGGTCAAATCTTTTTCATCCCGCCGTGAAGAGTATACATTCTCTTGACGGCCACAAGACTTCGTGACAGACCAATGGTTCGGCGTCAGCTTCTTCAGAGTGGTGTCTCCTGACGGTGGTATCGTCCCAATTGTGCTTTAGAGCGGCTCTTGTTGTGTGGCACACTTGTGTGCGCAGTAACCATCGCGAACGGTGTAGCTGCCTTCAGTGCTCTGTCTCGACGCGTCTTCGACGTCTAGGCTTTTCTCCTGGCATCCGCTTGTGCCTGGACGCTGATCTCAAGGACGCGCCTCGGCAGCCAACTTGCGGCAGGCGGCGCCTGTATCATCGGGGGATGGTGGCGCCGGCAGCCTTGGGGACATGCCGGAGGAGCTCGACGACATCGAGGGGGAGCAGCGAGCCCTCCTCGGCGCCCCTGGCGTCCAGGGCCGGCAGACCCGGCGCCGTGGCTATGTCAATGTCGCCGTCCGGTATGGCCACCCCAGCCCGATCGGTCTTGGGACGGCCGCCCAATGCGGAAGAGACCTTCGCGGCGCTGAGGGTGCAAATGATTGCAAAATGTGGGCCTGCTTTCAGATTACATTTCCGTCGGAAATGTTCTGCTTTCGGCGGCCGGTGTGGAGACACGCCAGGTGCAGCCCGACGGCCGCTCAGTCCCCATCGTCTTTGGAGGGCACGCGGCGAGCTGCTCTACCTCCTGTTTTGCTGAGCCGGCGCGTGGTGGGGCTGGGTGCGCTGGGTGGTGCTGAGATGTGCACGCGACGCCGGCTGCAGGACAGTATAACAACCGCGAACGCCGTAGCTGCCTTCAGAACTCTGGCTCGACGTCCAGACTTTTAACCCCTATAGACTCTAGGGGCTTTCGGCGGCGGTCAGTCCTCAGCGGGCCGGTCGTCCAGATTCGGCGTCAGAGCTAGGAGATGCTAGGACTATAGGAGTGCGGCGATCGTTAACATGGGCATGCGCCCGACAGACGCACAGAGTCGAGAGCCCGCAATTGCCAAGTTGAGCATGGCCTGAAAATTGCATGAGCTAGCAGCCCCATCTGCAGGTCCAAGTCGCGCATGAGGAAGGAAATTGCCAACGAGCGACGGCAGCCGCAGAGGTCGGATTCGCAACGCAATAGTTGGGTCAGACGTCGCAGGCTGTCCCGTTGAGCAGGCCAACTTCCAAGAGGTGCCGCTTTGCAAGTCAGACCTCGATCAGGCTCGATTACCAGAAATCTTCAACTTTGCACTCGCAGCCGAAAAGATCCTTCTGAGAGGCATCTGAGGACATGTCTGTCGAATGCTCAGCTCTGGCTGCAATCAGCAGCATTCCCCAGCAAAGTGTGCCCAGCACCGAAGCTTTTCGTGCCTCTAGATACTTGTAGCCGGACTTGACAGTCGCCACCAAAATCCAATGCCGCCAAGAGCCGGCGCATTTGGCTTCGGCTCTGCTGGGCCTCATGTAGCCGTAGCCTTGAAATGTCTCGAATGATGAGCCAAGGGACATCAGCGAGCATGTGCGATACCTGTTGTGCATTTTAAAGGCTGTTTGCTGCGGAGCTACGTTTCCGAAGTATGCAGGCTGTTCGCTTCGATCCGCTCCTTCCGAAGTTTCAGGGTAATTTGCTGGGTTCTTCGGGGGAGGATCTGCACATTTATCGCAGGGGTTAGTGCCGTTCGGCCTTTGGCCCACTTTTCCGGCCCAGTGATCTGGTGGCGAGCGATCAGATAACTTATTGAGATTTTTGTGGGAACCGCGTGCGCATACAGAGCCTGCTCGATAGAAGGTGCAATCGCTTGTGATTTGTTCAGTGAGCCTTCAAACGATGGCGAGTGATCAGCACTTGCGTATGTGTGTATGTACACACACACACGGACGCACATGAATATATATATATATATGTGTGTGTGTGGGTGTGGGTGTGTGTATATGTATATGTATATATGTATATGTATATTACATATACTCTATGTATATATATATATTTAGAGACATACATATATCATATACACACACATTACATTCATATGTGTACATAGAAATCCTTTCGGGCATGGTTAAACTAACATACAACCTGAGCTGGACCAAGGTGCATATGGATCATGCCCAGCCTACCTGCAAACGAGGTGCCGTAGCTCTACAGGCCTCTCTGCGAAGCGGTCTTTGTTTAGTTTGAGCATGCGTTCGTGCATGAAATTGGCGGCTGTGACTTGCGACGGAGCGCAGCTCATTGTCGCACTAGTCTCATGTCCGGCGCTAATACGTCTGAACTTGGCTGAAGCTGCAATTGGGTTTGTTCCATCATGTTTGTTTCGGTTGGACGGTGGGCGGCGTCAAGACCTTGAGGAAAGCAATTTCCTGAAGCCTGTGGGACGTCCACGAGCCCGATAATTGAACAGAAACTTTTCGTGATTGCCTAGCTGGCCTAGCTTTGTCAATTTCGTGCAAGGCAAACCGAATGGCTGCACAAACCGAACCATTACAACAGACAAGCCATTCCCAGAATCCGGGCAGGCTCTGCGGGAGCAGTGCATGCCCACCGTCATGGCTGCTGCTGCTGCACCTGCGAGGCATATCGTACCATACTTGCCATTTTTGGCTTTCTCTGCTGCTGATAAGGCTTCTTGGGTAGAGGGGTGCACTGTAACTTGAACCACGTTTGCTCAACAGCTCACGGACTGGCTGCTGTGATTGCACGGGTTCAGATGAGAAGCAGGAAACGATTTCGCCAACATTCAGCTGATAATACACAGCATCCGAGCATATGTTTCGAGATGCAGTCGAAGATCTAGTACTCAATACCTGTTTGTAAGGCCTTCACCCCAAGTGCACGGAAATTCCACGATCTCCGCGATGCCCCACCAATACCCGACACAAAATTAGAAGGTCGTGCCCACCCTGTGCTAGCCAGGTCCAGCCAAAAAGCCTCTTTGTATTTTCCTTTGGTACATGTCCCGAACTGGGAAAGTTCGTGTGTTACTGATGGTTCGAGATGCGAGGCCGGGCAGACGGCGCCACCACCACAACGCCTCCCGATTTCTGTGATGCTCTCCGGGGCGTTGCAGTTGGTCCAGCGGGTGCTGCAATCTCAGGAAACTGCGTGCACCTGCCAAAGAGGGACATGCAAAAAGCTTATGCTGCAACTCGCAGACAGAGAGCATCAGCTTGCTGCCTGCAGAGACGGCCTGCAAATGTATACAAGCGACGCCCTGCCAATGTGTACAAGCCAGGCGCTGGTGGCACCACAGTTCTCTCCGCTACCTCGAGCAGAATCAGATATGAAGGGAAAGGCATTGCTCAGAACACATGCCAAGCACTCGAACGGATGCCGATCAGACAGAATGCTTGCCAGGCACTCCTGGGAGCTACGCTGCCACAGTATCCCCTTCCAGCCATGGTGCCCAGCTACATATCATTGGAGATGTTTGCGGTGCTTGCTGTGCACCCTCCCCTCCGCCCACCCTGAGCATCCAATGCTTTCGAAAGGCCGTACCAGAGGCTGTCTTTCAGGCCGCAAAGTGGACGGCTTGGAAGCCGGCAAGCAGAGAGTATGCTACCACATTGATGGATCATGGGCGTAGCCGAGCTTCGAGGCCACTTGGTGCGTCTAGGGCCACATGTGGACGTCCTGGGGAGCCGCCGAACAAGGATGCCCTTGGCAAGCCTCTCTCCCTAAGATGCTGTGTGCTTCAGCCAGTGAGTGGGACGCGACGACAGGTGTGCCTGCTTGTCTCCAGCGACCTTGAAGGGAGAAGACCTTGGATTTCTCAAGCTCCGTGTGTGGAAGATCTTGAACTTGGAACTCCACTCGCAGAGAGTTTAGCAACCGTTCGCATGATGACTGCCCAGGTTCCTTCCGTACCGGCTTCTGATTTCAGAGGAGAAAGGCCTGGAAGTAAAATCTGCATTCACTCTGACATTGGCTTCAATCTTCCTGCAGTCAGGTTTGGATTTCGCTTCCCTGACGCCGTGTCCAGACTTCGCACTCGACCCACCGGACATTGTCCAGGCTCGGCGGGATAACAGTAAGCCAGAGTTGGCCCGTATGCTCCATAAGCCAAAACACTTTGCAGTGGTTGTCATTGTAGAAAACGAGCGCCGGTAGACCAGGTAGACGATTCCGGGAAGCAAGTCTTCTCAGGAGCTTGGTGGGATTATCGTGCTTTCCAGTCAAGGCAATCTGTAGTAAACGCACGCTCTTTCGTCTACATCCATGCAGCACACCCGACAACAAGCGTTGTCGGTAGTATGGAGGGTTGCAGGAGTCACCAAGAAGTCACTCGCGAAGATAGATGTGTGTAATTGTTATGCCATGACACCATGCTTCTCTAACTATGCCTGGGCTCAGGATCAGAATAGTCGTAGCTACTTTTTGCCTCCAGTCTTCTGCTTGCTAATATGATTGTTGCCTCTGTCGAAGATGGTGGCTACTTCCAGCAGCAGTTATCACGCCTTTCAGGTTTTAGCTTACCATGGCAGGTGCAGAGGCTGCCTTGGGAGGCCTGGCGCGACGATCGGCCGTTCAGCGAGCTACGGAGGACAACAGTCATTGCACTTCTGGACAGTCTTATGAGCCATAAAAGAGGGTTATTTGGCCTTCCTTTCGTCCTCCCTCAGCTCGGTCTTGTGAAACATGACTTGGAGCCTCTCTTGGCTTGCTGTCGCTAGGAAGGTTGCCTCAGGCCTCACAACACACGATTCTGGCTCTTCTTGTGCTTTCGGTGGCCCTCGTGATGCTGCCCAGGAGAATAGAATCCCGGAGGGACCTGCAGAGCACTGGAGAATGGAGCTTGCAGGCCGCTGCCAGGGTCGGAACATGAGGGCGAACCTGTTCAACCGACACTGCCGAAAGCGCTTCGGTAACCGCCATAAGCATTGCTTCAGGTAGTGCGGCGTGCGGCCCTTTTTCTGAGAAAGCCGCTGATCAGGATCGCCTATGGCCACCATATTTTCACTTGATCCATCTGTTAGCGCGGCCCTCATCTTGGCAAGCATCGAGGTCTTTCGAAGTTGCAATTTGTGCTGGGTCATATGTTCACTCAGAAATTACAGACGAACGTGTTGATTTAGAGCAACCCCTCCCGACTCCCACGGCGAACCGTGTCTGAATCAGTGTGAGTGCTTCGCTCTTGTCTCGGAGGCACGGGATGAAACGTCGACGGAGGGCAGCGAGCGGCTCAGGGCAGCCTTACGTGACTCGGAGCAAGTTGTAGACACGGCGGAACACCCTGACCTGAGGTCCGCCAAAGCTTGTGGACAGCTCTGTCCTGATAGTCGCTCCTGCATTACTGAACTGAGCAGACCGCATGACAGAGTTGGCTAGAAGTTTGGATGTCGCAAGGCTGCAGACATGGCTCGCTCGTACTTATTCTGTGGCACCAGCCAGGGCGTGCAATCTGAAGCTTTGGCTGAGGAGTGAGGAGCCCGGACTGGACTTAAATATTGCTTATTTTGTATTAATTGTACTAGGAGTGTCAGTTGAGTGATGTCAATGCCAGAGTCCGCCCCGATTAGTCGGCGCAAACCTAGATTACCATCTATGAACTATAGGGCCAGCAGACGCAGCATCCTTTCAAGGGCTGTTTACACGCGGAACAGACTCTGAAATAAGACCTGAAGAGTCCATCAATGTATCAATAAACCAGCATGTTGACACCATGCTCACAGAAATTTGTCTCCAGGCTGGTTCGCAGCTGCAGAGTGCTGAAGAAGCGCCGTGCGCTGCAGGCCAAGGCAGACAAATGTTGGGGCTCATGGCAGAGGATTCTGATGCACATGCATTTAAATATAAAGATAGTTAAAGCAGAATGAAAATTCAAGATATGCTTGATTTGGTAATCTATTGTAGTATGGTATACCATTAATCAGCTGAGCAGGGTTGGGTTTAGTGGAGGCACCCACGCCTTCAGGCCAGGCAAATAGGAAAGAGCTGACTTCCTGCCTCGTGCACTGCCCCTGCAGGCCACGACAACGCCAGGCAGAGCACAACATGTGGGAGGAATGTTTCGACTCTGTCCTTGAATGAGCCGTGCATTCCACCGATTGTATTTTCAGATCACGCCGAGTAGAAGGTGTCCGTCGGAATCTTGCGCAGGTGGTGTTTGATCCAGCAGCCGGAACATGCCCAGAGCCCAATTTCGTGGATTCACCTGGTGTGCTCGAAGATACTACTCGGGTGGCCAAAGTTTGGCTGCCAGCTCTGACAATAGAAAGCTGCTTCGGAATTCGGCAAGTGTGTCGAAGTATTTGTGTGACCTCCTCCGCCAGCCTTTTTTGCCTTACAGCAGAGAGTTAGAGAGTTGCCGATTTCGCAGCGATCCTTGCAGCCCTCGATGTCACGCAGCCTGGCCAGCTGGGTGGAGAAGTAAGACGGCTTTTATCACACCAGGGGGCGGAGGGGGGGAAGAGGAGGGGTCAAGAACGACCCCTGGACTGCGGAGCGGATCAGAGCATCTATGCTCAAGTGGGCCGGGGGAGGCTGGGCAAAAGCGGAACAGGGGAGGTCCTGGGCTGTAGACACACACACACAACCACCGGGGCCAAACCCGTTTTTCTATTTCGAGACCCTGGATAGAATGCTGCCTGAACTCCTCGACCCTCCCAGTAATTTCGCGCTTCGCCTAGCTAAATACACTATCTTCTCACATGCCAGTATTCGCTAGAGCCTTCTCCGCCTTTTCAATGTCAAACATCCCACCAAGGTCAGGATAACCAGGCATGTGTCATTTTATGTAGGGCTGTTGGTGGTCCCATATTGACTTGATTGTTGTCCTTGTCTTTGCTTTGATTCGTGTGTGTCTTGTTTCGACATGGTGTGGGATGACCTACAAGAGTGCACCTGCTTTATTGCGTCGCTGAGTTTGGTCATGGCTGATGGCTTCCATGCTTGGGTGATTGGTCTGGTAGGCTCCTCTCTGTTCCGGTAGCGTAGTCGCAGTAGTAGTAGTAGTAGTAGTCGTCGTCGTCGTCGTCGTAGTAGTAGTAGTGGTAGTAGTAGTAGTAGTCGTAGTAGTAGCAGCGGCAGCAGCAGTAGTAGTGGTAGTGGTAGTGGT